TTCGGGCTGTCAATCAAAAATGTACTTGTCGGGCTCGGGCCGAATTCTGTCGGGCCTAACTTTTCAGGCCTAATTACAGCTCTAGTAAGGCTCTGCTGTGCAGTTCGATCACATGTGGAGGGTATGGAGATGTGTCAGCTGGAAGTGTTTGAAGCTGCTCCTCCACTTTACCCCTGCATTCTACATGAAGACAAAAATGACTCCTGAGGCTTTATCCCTGGAGACAACCACTTCCATTGGCTTTATCCACAGTTCTAAATTTTCATTATGCCTTCCACCATAAAATATGAAACAGCGCTCACTGCCATCATCAAAAAAATATTGTAATAACTGCTAGCTACGTAATGTTAGCATGCTAGCTGGTTAATCTGGTGATGGTGAACATGGTAAACAGTATGTCCCTTGCATTGCTGTCAGCATGTTAGCATTGTCACTGTGAGCATGCTGATGTTTACTGTAGATTTACTGTAGCTAGCAGCTAAGTACAGCCTTACAGAGCAGCTAGATAGCAGGAGAACTATGTGAACACAATAACAAACTCAAACATTTATTCTAGCTTCAGGACAGATACAAAATCAAAACTAAAAAAGGGCAGTTAAACTCAACACAGAAAGACATAGACAGATAAACCAATAAATAAGAATCAAATCCAATAAGAAAGTGATTGTTTCTGAAGATCTGATCACCTCTACTTTAGAGTATTTGTATTAACTTGTATTAAGTCACGGTGCAAGGACAGTAATCTCAGCCTCAACACAGACAAGATGAAGGAGATGATAGTGGACATGAGGAAGGAGAGGAGATCTCATCGGCCACTGTTCATCCGGGGGCTCGAAGTGGAGAGGGTGAGCAGCTTCAAATACCTGGGCGTCCACATCAGTGAGGACCTCAGTTGGACATATAACAGCACACCGCTGGTCAAGAAGGCCCAACGGCAGCTGTACTTCCAGAGGAGGCTGAGGAGGTTTGGCATGTTGCCTAGGATCCTTTGCAACTTCCACAGCTACATCATTGAGAGCATCTTGACCAGCTGCATCACTGTCTGGTATGGCAGCAGGACCACTAGACTGAAAAACTCTTTCTTTCCCTCTGCCATCAGACTCCTAAACAGCTGAGGAGTTTATTACCAGGAATATGTCATCTACTGTCGACCTGTACTGTTTACATTCTCAGTTTGCACATGAATAATTGCACATTTACTGTTGACTGCTGCACATGCTGCTCCCATGCAGCATACAATCTCTATTCTTATATATTTTTATTATATTGCTGCATTTGCTGCTTAAAGTGTCTTAGATTTTGTGTTACTTATTTATCTACTTTATATTTCATTTGTATTTTGTGGCATTCATGTGGACGGCAAAGCAAGAATTTCATCGTACAGGGAAACGTGTTTCCTAACTGTGCATATGACAAATAAACACTTTGACTTTGACTTGACTTAACTTGGCTACATGTTGTATTCCCTCGCCTCGCCTTTTAGTGGTGCTGGACGACACCAAGCGCGTGGCCAAGCGGCGTCTGATTGAGGAGAATCGAGAGAGGAGGAAAAAAGAGGAAATGGTGAGGATGCTGCAGACCAGGCCGGAGCCAAACACCACAGAGTGGGAGCTGATCAGGATGGCGACAGAGGCCCACCGACACACCAACGCCCAGGGCTCCAGCTGGAAACAAAAGCGCAAGTTCCTGGTAAGTGTGTAGTTATGAGCACTGTTGCTTAGTAATGAATAAGAATGTTTATATAAGAAAGACGGGGATAAGGAGCAGAGCTGTTCAGTTTATGGGTGATTTTTCATTATGAAAAACTCCTAACTCACATTAATTTGTTGTAGAAAGTGGTCCAGATGAACATTTCCATTCTAACTAGCTTTCTGTAGATTTGAATGATTTTTGGTGCACGCCTCTGCAGAGGTGTGAGGCAATGATACTGCATCAGGTTAAATTGTCAGGTGCACGCCGGTGTTCCTAAAACAACGGGCAGCAGCAGTTGCTCTGACACCCGCAGCCCATGGAGACACTTGAGATGCTATAAAACTTCTTAGCACCCTTGGTTCATTGGGTTACCGTTATTTGTGTCAAAAATCACTCTGCTTCTCAAAGTCAGAACTCAGTCAGATGTGAACATACAAGCATGATGAAAAAGGGGATTCAAACAGTAGCCCTCAGTGAAACTCAGTTGTTTCATTTTGCATGAGGATTTTGTTTGTGGAGGGCCCACAGTGTTATACTTTGAAAACCCATGCTGTACATGATTGTTCCAGTTTGGTCTGCTATACTGTAATGTGTATATTTATATACCTGCACTTACACACAAGAAACTACAGTAAAGCATTGACATGGATAATTAACGTGAATGCGCTTCTGCTTTATTGACGTTGATGTGGTTGACTGCAGGTTGTCAAGCTACTGATTCCAGTATTAGCTGGGACAGCTGCATGACAAAGAAGGTCAAGAAATTAGAGTTTTGAAAAAAAGGAAGGAAAGAAACTAGCAAAATTGGGTTTAGATCATAAAGTTATATCAGCACGGCTTTCGGCAGATTGAGAGAGCTGACAGAAAAGAGGGACTTACAAACGGACGCTGATTTGGCAATCTGTCTGCTTGACTGGTATGCTGTAAATGTATTATTTATAGATGGACGATAAAGATTTAAACCATTCCCCTTTGTGCTTGTAGCTAAATCATCCCAGAACATGTTATTTGCACTCAAGTGTGACTGTAACAGCAGCTGGCTAAGCTAAGGATGTCACTGTGTTGCTACTTTCAGTTACAATAATCAGACAGTTACATCCAGGCAAATTCATACATAAGCCACTGATCAGTCTGCTGCAGTTGTCAAATCAATTTGTGACTGTGAATTACATAATTTTAATGCCCACCAGCTAAATGTGTTATAGTCTCCACTAATTTGGTGATTTTTCCCTGGGAGTCTAGCTCTCATCAGCCCGGTTTGGGGCCTGCTGCAGCTCATAATTAGGTGATATGACCCTGCTGTGAGCCACTCTCTTCAGTTACTATATTGATGTGGCTACATTTGACAGTATGTTTTATTCCATTTGAGACATGTTTTTGAACAGCATGTGTCCTCTGTGATAGAGTGGTGAAGTGTTGTTTCTTGTTTTTTGTGACAAAAAAAACAAGGCTGAGTGTTTAGTGAGCTCGGTGAATTATATTATTTTAATGCTCACCAGATGCATGTTGTCCGCTAACTTGGTGAATTTTTTTCAGACTGGGACATTGTGTGAGTGATTTCGTGTTCGCGATGGGATTGGTGGAGTGAGGCAGAGTAAAGTGGGCAGAGCTTGGCAGAGATTGACTCCAGAGGCTCATGCTAGCGCTAGCTTGATTTTCAAATGTTACCAATTATAGTTTTAATCAAAGCATATACACTTAACAAAGATAATTAATTAATTATGTAATACTTTTATTAAAGGCCATCTAAATCTAACTACTCTTTGGGATTTCAGCCTGTAAGTCTTCATCGCAACTTGATGAGTTTGTCATTCTGATTATATTAAATACTTATAAATTAGTATTTGCAAATTAGTGCTTTGCAGTATCCACACTCGTTATTTCAAGAAGTTCAACCCACAGTACTGCATGTTGAAGGAGGTTCTGCTTCAAGAATCAGGTCAGAGGAAAGTGACTTCTTTTCATTTTCGAAAGGAACTGTTCTGACAGCTCTCCGTTTCGGCTCAATCGCTGCCTTTCCATGTGATCGGAGCCACATGCTAACACACCGCCAGTGGGTACTTTGAGACAAAGGTTAGATGACAGTTACCAGGCAACCATCAGGTTTATAGTCAAATACAGATTTTGAAGGTCTCCTGAAAAATTGCTGAGGTGGGAGCAACTGGTTCAAGGTGAACAAAGAAGATAAAGAAGCCCATGAGAAAAGAGAAGATTCCATATTTGAAAGAAAGTGCAGATACTGTGTGCTGCTACAGAAGCATTTTACCGTGGTTTGTATCTTTCATGAGGCTTATTGTCCTTCATCCTAATATCCTGCGATGACCCCCAGTGTTCCCTCTAGTGATTAACCTAGCCTCTCTGTCAGTGCCTAGCACTAAAGCTGTTTTCTGTCTGTTATAGCTCTCAATTATGGCCAATTTTTTAAAAAGTAAGGAATGTACTGTTAAAAAGAAAGAAGAAGAAAAACATAGAGAATAAAAGCCAACATATGAGCCATCTGTGCTTTTCATCAGAGCTCATGGTCTTTATTTATCAAACTCACTCAAATATCAGCATTTCCTTCTCACCTATAATCAGTGAAAGGTTTCATTACCAGTGTGACCTTTTGTTTCTAGCCCGATGATATTGGCCATGGTCCAATAGTTCCCACGTTCGGCGGTGATAAGGTGGACCTGGAAGCCTTCAGTGAGTTCACTAAGATTATGACACCTGCCATAACTCGTGTTGTCGACTTTGCCAAGAAATTGCCCATGTTCTCAGAGGTAAGTTCACTGGGTGGTGTGTGTGTGTGTGTGTGTGTGTGTGTCTAAACACTCAGCCTTTTATTAACCTCTCAGTATTAGTAGTGCTTAACTGTTTGGCATGGGCTGCTTCTGTAGGCACTCAGTCCTAAAGCTAGCACTTTATTCAGTACAAACAACATCTATCACATGTCTGTCTGTCCTGGAAGAGGGATCCCTCCTCTCTTGCTCTTCCTGGGGTTTGTTTCTTTTTCCCCCATTAAAGGGTGTTTGGGGGGATCCTTATTTGATTTGAGGGTCAAAGGCAGTGGCTCCCACACTTTTGTAGACCACAGCACCCCCTTAAAGGAAAGTTGTCATGTCATCCCGATTGTCAGTATTGTAGTAAATTAAATCAAAATCAGCAGCAGCTTTATTGGCCAGGTGTGTTGGACACATGAGTAATTTGACTCTGGTACAGTGGCTTTCAGTGTGTATGTACAATACTCTGCCATAAAGCAACGAGTAGACAAGTAAATAAAATAAGGCTGTGTCCTGCCTGTCTAAGTCTTTACAGTACATTTTTCCAATTATAATTACAACACTAGCATTAGCGATACATTACACTGTTTCTTGATCTACATGTCCTCTACATAGATCATGAGCTGGGGCCTGTTAACTTTAGCCTGAGTCCTTTATCTCAGAATTACTGTATGTACAGTGAGGAAGAAAACCATTATTCACAAAATGGCGCAAACACAAGAATGGCCTTTTCAAAGAACATGAAATGAATAATAGCAACACATTCTTTGGTTAAATGAAACAACAATACATGAGTTTGGACCAGATGGGGTCCAAAGCTTGGCATAGAAAATATGAAAAAAAAAGGAATTTCAATTTGCTGAACTCTGTTGCAATTGGATAAATATGGATCTTTAATTAGAGTTGAGTTGAGTTTGGTTTAGTTCATTTGCAACCTCCCCCAAACAAATCCAATCTGTATGTACAGTACATAGATGCTGCACATACACATTGGGCAATATAGTGCAATAAATAGGAAAAAAAGATTCTGGACACAGCTTCTGTTTGAGTTTTTTACCTGCACTTGAGCTTCATAAGCACAGTTAACTGACTTCTTTTGTCTGCAGCCTTTGTTATTTTATTTGCCAGCTGTTTACACCAAATAATTGTTGATGCCTTGCGCAGTCTCTCCAGATCCTCGGTCTATTCTGTGTCCCTGGATGATGTGATGACTCGCCACTCACTGGTATTCCTCTGCTCTATGCACAAACAATATGTGTGCCTCACTTGCGTTGCACCTAACTGACTGCCATCATCACATATTGTAGGAGCAGCCCGGTTACATTTGTTTTGGAGTGAAAATGAAAGCGCTTTCTCCGCACTCCAAACTAATTGCGTTGGGGATTGAATGCGAGCTACGATATATCATCCGAATGGACATTTCAAAAGTAGAGTCACCTCTTGCTGAGGACTGATGTGATGTTTGCATATTTCACCAATTGACGCAACAGTCAATCAACACAAATAAAGTAATCAAAACAGTCTTATTATTAATATTCTAATTTTTAATATTATCATTCTCTGGTCACTTTGGGGGCAGAACAACAAGCTCTCCTTTCAGCTTTGTTTTGATCTCCACCAGCTCCACTATGTTCGCCAGCTGGTGACTAAATACAGGTTGATTACTATAAGCAAACCCTTTCACATTAAACATACTTAAAAACATAATAATAATAATCTAATTATTTCACTCCTTCATTTTTTAATTACAGTGAGCCATAACCTGCTTTGCATTTATCATGAAAATAGACAATAACTTCTCAAATAGTGGTGACTTTTAAATTCAAATGTGTTTGTTTGTTTTGCTTTTTCTTTTCTCTCTCCGCAATTCACTCACCTCACTGTTGCCAAGTGCTTGCTTAATGGGAATTTGTTGGGTTTTTCTCTGTAATACTGTGAGGTATAGCCCCTACTGTGTAAAGTGAGTTGAGATAATTTTTTTTGTTGTGATTTGGTTCTGTACAAATACATTGAATTGAAATTCTTTGTATGCTCATGTAATTTCCTTTGATAATATTTCATGATATGTTGCTGTGCTGTTTCCCAGCTGCCTTGTGAAGACCAGATCATCTTGCTGAAGGGATGCTGCATGGAGATCATGTCGCTGCGCGCTGCCGTACGCTACGACCCGGACAGTGAGACGCTGACGCTAAATGGCGAGATGGCGGTGAAACGTGAGCAGCTGAAGAACGGAGGGTTGGGCGTGGTGTCGGATGCCATCTTTGATTTGGGCAAGAGCCTGGCTCAGTTTAATCTGGATGACTCGGAGGTAGCGCTGATGCAGGCTGTGCTGCTCATGAGCTCAGGTGAGGAAGACTCAATGTCATCAGGATGCTGCATGTAAAGACTTTTGATGGAAAAAATATGATCTTTCAGCTTAAATAGACCTTAACTTATAAATATTTGTTTTACTAATCCTATTGCTAGCTTTTGGTGTTACACCATATGTAATAGTTCCAGTTTTAATTTCAGTATTTTGTTTTTCTCATGTCACTTCTTTACAGCAGAGTTTATCTCGAGCTTCAGAATCAGAATCTGTGGCCAAGGTGGTCTGAGCAAAAAAAAAAAAAAAAAATGTTTTTATTTTATTCTACTTTTAAGGTTGGGAGGGAATTAGCTTTTACAATTTAAAGTTATTTTCTAATTATTTGTTAATAATTACTACAGTTAAAAATATTACTGTTTGGATTGTTTCCAGCCAGTCATGGGATAAACTACCATGGTATATTTTAGGGGTGTAACATTCCTGAACTGTGACCAAAAACTGGGATACAATATAAAAACTGAAAAAACCGTGATACCAGAAGATGGAACCTGGACCCCCAACACCCTGCCACCCCACCCTGCCTGCCCCAAACCCCAGACTGCTGCCTCCACTGCAGGTGCAGCCTGTTAAGTTCTCATTACATTGCTAATTTAACAAAACTTATTTTTCCTTTCACAATTACTACTACAATATAACACGTAAATCACCACATAGTTTTTCTAGTAAGAATTTGTGTCTAGTATTCTCCGCTTTGGTGTTCCAAATTATTAGTGATTTAATAAGAACTAGAATTATTTTTTCAGTTTCTTTCACAAAAAAAAGAAACAAACCATGGATTTGGAAGACTGTTATACCCCTAGTATATCCTGTCTTGGAGTTCAGTTGATTAAATCCAGAGGATTGACTATCACTTTGACATTGTGGTAGAGAGTACTAATCTCATAGTTGAACAGTCCAGACAGTTTGATAGCACAGAGTATCCAGTCAATCAGTTTGATGTAAAATATTGCCTGCATTTGTTGTCTCTCTATCTTACATCCAGAACACAAGTAGTAATAGGCAGCAGATGAATAGACATAATCTGAAAAACTGATTTTAGTTGAACTGGGCCAAATTATGTTTGGTTTATTCAGGGCTGGCTAGGGTCCCATTCTATTGCTGTGGCTCATGATCAGTGTCCCCTGACCATATGAATTCAAGTGAACTCATAACACAAGTTTGGAGAGGTTTCTAAGTCCATTTCAGCTTCCACTAAGACCTTTACTGGGCATGTTCAAATCTGCACCGCAGTGTCTGGATCAGACCTGTGCCCAGTCCTGGCATATTTTATCTCTAAATGGATTGGTATCAGCTAAATACATCTAGATCCACTACCATTCCCTTTTTATTGTAGATTATTTCACTCCATACAAGCCAACTCTTCAGAACATATTGTCTTGTTTTTTTAGTCACCTCGTCACTCTTTCAAAAAGAGATGAAAATGTCATTGTTCTCTCCTCTCTGTCACCTCAGACCGTTCTGGGCTGACCAGTGTGGAGAAGGTCGAGCAGTGCCAGGAAGCCTACCTGCTGGCGTTCGAGCACTACATCAATTACCGCAAGCACAACATTCCCCACTTTTGGCCCAAGCTCCTGATGAAGGTGACGGACCGGCGCATGATCGGGGCCTGCCACG